CAACGCCATGTGTCTCTTGGCACGCGCCCTTGAGGTTCTTGTGCAGTCAAGATGCAAGTGTAGCGCAAAGAAAGTGCACTTTGTCGAAGCCCGCATAGTTCATTGCTGCGCCACCTGTCCAAGTTCTAAGGTTTTGGCCGGTGGCCGGACCGAGACCCGTTCGGTGAGATGTTCAGCCGTGACTACCATCCAAGATGGTATGAGTTGAGCGGCCAGCCACTGGCTGGCCACTACCGGGGGATTTTAGATGGTATTCAAGGAGACCAGGCCTGGATCCACGAGAGCTTCACATTGAAGCGAGCCATGTTGGCAGAGAAATTGCCATGCAGGTGATCTAAGCTATACTAGACCTGTGTATGTATTTTGCCTCTTTGTGTGTTTTGTTTCTCCCGAACAGAACACGCCTAGGAAGTTGGCATGTTGGGCGAAAGTTGATTTGCCCCTATTGTTGCGCTGTGTCTTACACAGAACCTGGAGAAAATGAAAGTCTGCTATACACCGCATTTGGGCCGACGGCCCATCACAGATCCACGTGCCTCCTATGCGTTAGGTGTTTAACTGGTTGTGTCACATGTTTCAACCAGAAATCGAAACAATTCTTGTTGACTTTGGGTGAGGTTGTTGCAGGGAAAGGATGACTTCATTGCCATTCATGGCAATACTGAATTGTGCAAGCTTCTGGCCTTTGAACCTTGGAGACACCTGGCTCAATTTCTGGTTTGAGACAGCGTTGGAAAATGTCTGTTGTTGCACGTCGCCTCCAGGAATCTATTGCGATCTACTTCATATTGTGGATCTCCAGGTGTCTCCAGATTGCATCACTTCAAGTCTCCTAGAACTTGATGAAGCTGGCTTCGACTTGAGCGATCTGCACGCCCGTTACATCAACTGGTGTTCCCAAACAGGTGTGCTACTGTCACACTTTTGCCATGATGTGCAGTGTGGTTGTTGTTTAGGAGTTAGCTCCCTGGTTGTGACTGGTTGTAAAACAGTATCAGGCATACCGCATGCGTCCCGAGCTTCGCGGAAACTATTCAACAAGAAGTTTCTCCAGCCGTCGTCCACCGTGTACCCGAGCGTGAGCCAGAAAGTATTGAAGGGGATAGCTGCCCGCTTCGTTGTGTATTTTCTCTCCAGCATTGTTTACAACCTGGCTCTAGAAAATGGGGACGTGCACTCTGTGCAACTCAGGCTAGACCAGATTTAAAACCCTTTCTGATTTTCGTTTACCGGTCTCGGTTTTGGGCTGCCTCCCTGGGTCCCTGAACTGTCTGATTTGAGGTACAGGGCGAACACAATGACATCTTTAGCCAATATCTACACGATCTTGGCCGAGAGTTCGAAATACCCACCGCTACCAGCAAGACTTCGCTTGATCGACCAATTCTGGAACTTCCGTGAGGGGTACAATTGTTGCCAAATCAAACCTTGGAACATTTTTTTTATGTTATATAGTTTCCTTGGGGGGGCGCCCCCCTGACATTGCACGGGCCAGCTGAGTCTTAGCATCGACAGCGTTGACGTCATCTACCTTCAGATGGCCGGTGTATCCTAAGTTACACATGATGGAACACCTGTGCCTCGAAGTTCGAAATGGTCTTTAGAAACGATGGACCTGTGTTGACAAAACGTGTGGGTTTCCGAAACCGTGTTTGAGCAGTTGTTGGTGGCCAGCAGCCCAGGATGGTAGACTTTTCATGGGTCAACGCCAGACACACATCGTGTGTCCTCGACGAGGATTTAGTGGGCAAAGTCAAGACTCTTGGGATTACATAAAACGATTTAAACAGTGTGCAGCCACAAGTTGAGGGATTTTTTGTGGCTCATATCTGAGGAAATTGTGCACGCTCGCGCATCCGCGAACCCTAGGGTTGAGATGCATGGAGCAGTATTCCATCATGTCCACTTTACCATGGGCAGGAAAAGACTGCCTACTTGAGGAGTGTGACGCATGAGGAAAAAATCCAGTTTGATCGCTGAACAGTGAAAAACACAACCCCTTCCAGCCCTTGTTTCCTTTTAACGGCGTTTGTTTGTTTTTGGGCGGTGGCTTTGCACCTTCCCCTTCAATTTTTTTGTGTAAGTGCGCAAACACAAAAAAACAAAACAATACTGGCTCAAGTTTGACACGAGTGCTGTGCTGCTTTTCACAAAGCCTAGCTGAGCTAAACGGGTCCTGGTTTGGCTGCTTAGGTAGCCTATCCTTCTTTTAAACAAATGGCGCTGGCATGGCGCCTCTTTGCTGCTATATGTGGCCAAGGCCAAACTAGCCTATACGGTCTCAGGCTTTATAGTTCGTCTATACGGGCCTTAGGCCTCTGTTGGCTTGCCGAACGGTGATCCCCTCGAAGATGAAGGCGATGAAGCGGAAGAGCCCTTGCCCTTCCCAGAAGACCACCTGTCAGGGCACTTCTGGTAGCCGTGACCTGTCATGCCACAGATAAAACATGGACCCATAGTGCCACCACCAGAGCCCTTCCCTTTTCCATTGGAGCCACCCTTCTCGCCTTTCGACGAGCGGCCCTTGCCATTCATGCCCATAGGACTGTAGTAGTAGCCCCGCGCCGCACGAACTTTGGCCACCGCTTGCTTGGCTTCAGCCACAGTTCGATTTGCCTCACCAGCTAACACAAAGGCCTCTTCAAGCCTCTTCTCGTTCTCCTGCTCCTCTGCCGTCAGCTCCACTCCTTCATTCACCAGGATGAACTTGATCTCCACCAGCGAACTCATAGTCCTCGTCATAGTATTCCCACGTTGAAGCGGGCGACCAGTCATTCCAGTAGGCTTCTTCGTCCCACCAGTCTTCACCGTCATCGACCCATTGCTCATTGTCCCACTGGTCCCAACTGACGTCATCGGCGTACCAAACAGTTCGTCGAGGATGACGCCCGCCGGCATCTTCAGGTCCATCAGAACCATCGGCAAACAGGGATCTCAAAGCTCTTCGAATGAGCTGGAAGTGGGCGCTGTTCTTGGTCAAGGTCATGACATGCCGTCGCTCTGCCGCCGACAACTTTGCGGCCTTCAGCAGTCTATATCCTCGGAGTTCATTCTCGAAGAATCCGGTGTTGTCCAAAGCCATAGGCCTGTCCTCCGTCCGGGTCACTGCAGGCGCCTCGTCCTCCTCCGGCACTCGGAAGGTGACATTGGGTGATCTCGTAGGCGAGGTCGGTGGATCATGTTCTTCAGCTCCCACAGCCATGGATCGAACCTCATGCTTCATCTTCTCAGCTCTTGCACGTTGCAATGCCTGTTGAAGCTCAACAAACAGTTCTTCTTCTCGGACTAGGAGCTGGGGTATGCTTTCAGCATGGGTCCTCCGAAGTCCAGACCATCTCTCGAGGCGGTTGAAGCTGTCAGGAACTGGGAGCTTCTGCAGCGGGCTTTCTCGAAGTACACCAAGTAGCTTGCTAAGGCCAGCCTCCGTCCCAAAGTCCTTGGGATCAAGGTGGCGAACCACGCTCTTGGCTGCTCCAGCCAATCGCTGCCAGATGCGGGGTGCCGCTAGCTTCCTCGTACCAGCGGCATGATGTCGCGAATGCCTCAAATCCGGAAGGATCTCCGTCCCATGTCGGGACCTCCTCAGCAGGCATAGCCAAGGCCACCAGGAACGTGGTCAAGAGCTCCGCCTACCATGCAAACTACCAAAGGACAAAAAGGGACCGTCGTGGTCCAAAGGCGTCAGTCAGCGCGCCCGTTTCTCCTAGGCTCCAGAGGGGTTAGTCCAAAAAGGTCAACATGAACCTCATGCTCACAAAAGGCAACTGCCTGTGAACAGGTGGGTTTATGCTCAAGCCTGGCGAACAGCTTTGGGAGTCCTCGTGATTCCCCATCTGTCAGGCCGATCCAAGGGGTATGTCCAAGGACTTCAAATAGAATTAATTGATTTGATTCCTGCTTCTGCTAGCCGAAGGGGTCGGCCTTCGAAAAATACCGCGTTGCAATTTGCAATTCTTCTTCTTGGGGTTGCATGTCAGTGATTGCTGTTCAAGAAGTCCTTTTTTAAAGGTTGGTCTTGCTTTCCGCTGTTCCCCAATGCGACACAACAACCATGGAATTAATTACCTGATAACTGCCCCTGTGATTGTCTCAAACCATGCCTCGTGACATTGTCACCAAACGACACCGCGATAGAATACTGTTTTTGTGACCAACACCTAAAACATGTGGTAAAACAAGAAAAATAGTATAACGAGGAATACACATAGAGGAGGAAACAAATTGAAAGAAAACTACGCAGAGTATCCGTGGCATTTGCAGCCTCTAAACGTAACGAGTTGCAACAATTGCATTTGGCCTTGCGGGGTATCGAAAGGCGCGGCTATGCCTTCTGCAGTTGAGTTGGTTTCGGCCGCCAGGTATATAGTAAACCTAGGAATATGTATTACACCGGCATACCCCCCAAAGAGCAACGAAACTCTCAAAACAGAAGCAGAAGCACATCTTTTCCTCTCAGCCCAGCAAACCCATGAAAGTAGGCAGGAAGAGCATCATCGGATTCACGACAAGGGGGAAGACAAAGAAGCAGCGGCAAACAAAGTGCAGATCACAGAAGCAAACAAGTGGGAACACAAGTGGGAGACAAAGCGGCAGCAGCACACAAAACGCCGATCACACAGGCAGATCAGTGGGGAGACATATAAGGAGACACGTGGAGTAAGAACGCCTGTAGCTTTCAGCTATCGGGAAACTAGTATATATATATATAAATACTTATAACTAATAACTTATAACTATATGCATTAGTCTGTTTAAAACCCCGGGGGTAGGCTGCAAGGAGGCTCAAGTAAGCTAAGAGGTAAGGGGTAGCTACATGTAAGCTTAATTTGCTTCTTAGCCTTGGACGCAGAAGGGCTGAGGCTTCTTCAAGGAAGCTCCTCTCGCCTGAGGGCTTCCTTCAAGAAGCCTGAGCCCTAATCATGTGCTTTCTAGATATTTGCGGGAACTTAACATGTGTACCGTCAGCGATTCCCTCTATGACTGTCAACAAACCTGCGCGCCTCTGCCAGTGCCAACAGCTGTCTCCGCTCCTCAGTCTTTGCATCGACTGTAGTGGCCCAACCACGGCTCATCAAGTGAACTGGAGTCAGCAAGCATCAAAATGTGTCCTCTCTGTTCGATATTCCTACGGTACCTCACACAGTTCTTTGACTCTCTCCCACCTCAAGCTATTCATCTTGGGACCTGAACACGGCCATTGCTTCTTGCACCAAGCACCTGCAATGCGGTGACCTTGGGCGGTTGAAAGCGTATCCATGGATCACATCTTTCCTGCATTGGGTTGCATACAACCAAGGACATGTTCAACACATGAATGAGCATGTGTATCCTGCTAAGTGAATCATTCTGCAAACAAATATATTGAACACAAACATATTCTGAAAGAAGTCAGGATATTAACCAAAAAGCAACGACCAGCCCGCCAAGGAAGCAAGCATGTTAGCCACCAGACTGTCAACGAAGGACCCACTTCACGTATACCGTACACTTTCAGCTCCACGCCAGGCCGTGCAAACAAGAATCTTTGGGAGCATCTTTGCCCTGATCTTCCAAAGGTTGTCAGCAAGTTCAGTACACCATCACCAACATCATAGAGTTTATCTAGCAATGTTGTGCAATGTCTCCGTTCCGACCATACACTGCATGATTGAGTTTCCGTGGCAGCGTCATCTCAACACTTAGAACTTTCTTTGCAATTGCTTTGTTCACAAGCACATGATTCAGCGGGTCCTCAGCTTTTTTACCGAAGAACTCCAACTCTTGCACAGCAGAAACTGCACGACCTCGGAAACATGGTGTTCAAGAATCTATATATATATATATTTATTTGATGTTCAAAATGTCCTGGGCGGCCAAAACTGATGAGTGAAACGAGGTGTGAAGGATCATCAGTGATCAACAAATCAACCTTGAAATGCAACATATTACTGGACACTAGCCGCATGCTTGATATCTCCATTCAGCTTACGGCTTGCCTCTCCAAAAATGAAAAATCGCCACAGATTCCTCAAACGGCTCCTGCAGCCAGTCGATTTCAATCTGCACTTTCTAGCTGCGGTTTGGGACAAACAGTTTGGTGCTGTTTCATGCAACCATTCCGGGACCATGCCAGAACAATTTAAGATAATTTAAGTGATACGCATGAGACTTAGTTGCTGGACTTGCTGGGGCAGGCTCACACTACTCGCGCAGGCTCCTGTGGAAAAACACTGGACTCCACTGCTGACCTCATACAAGTGCTGTGGAGTCGGCATTGGTAACATGCGCAAATGCACGCTTCAAATAACCACTGCATAGAAAGATATCTGAGAGCAGGCTGTGCACGGGTTTGGGAAATACATCGAATCTAAAGAGCCGCTCAGTTTTCTTCAGATTAGGCCTAGCTTTGACTAATGTCTTGTCTTTAGGGTCGGAAGTAGTTCAACTCTTGCAAAAGCTCTGAGGATTGCAGTTACATTGAAAAGTTAAGTCTCATGTTTGTTTCAGCATTGAAATAGCTCTGAATGTTCCTTTGTGGCCAAACGGCCAAAGGCAAACTTTGATTGACACCTGTCAAACATTTTTCTGTAACACAAGGTAAGAGATTGCACCGACACGGAAACCGCCATGTAACGTAGTGGCATGCTCGTCATGCTACAAAGTAAGCCCCTACAGTGTCGCGCTGTAGCCGTGCTTTGTTCCAGAAAAGTACGCACTCCAGCCTTACTGCGCGGAGATATGAGCTCCAAGGCAACGAAGAGTTGCAGGTGAGGACCTCATTCACAAACCGATGTTTTTTGAATGGCCATGATGGCATGATTCCAGAACAATGCGGCCGTGCAACTACTATAATTACCAGTCATTGCAAGCAATCAACATAGAGCTCACAACAAGGTGCTCAAATCCCAATATTACTAATGGTTGATCCAAACACAACCTTGGTTTAAAACGTCAACCAGGCCTGCACGCAATACAACAAGTTTATTGCCTGCTGGCGTTGGCGTGCGCATAAGTTATTCCCATGTTCATTTCTCCGCTACTAGCCCTTAGCTTCCTCAAAAACACTCTGGGACCACTGACCTCAGGAACGACAAAGCCCAGCATTAACCTCCAGATTTCGGAGCCATGAGAGCTCAGAACTCTAAGAAGACTTGACTCGAAGAGAACCTTGGAGGCCATCGCTAGTAGGTTGGAGGCCATTCCTATTAGGTTGAAAACGGCAGACTTTGGCCTCGGCCACACAGGCCCTCCTGTTTAGGATCATTCCTGCTTTGAAGCGAAGAGGCTGCTCTCACCGTGATGATTGTGCCGTTGAAGATGCTCAATACAGTGGGTAAGCGTTTTGCTGGGCATTCATCTTGTTGGTGTGTCTGGCTTGTGATCGTTCATCTGATAAAAATGCATCTTGCTTTTTTGGTGCGTAAGTTGAGTTAAACAAACTGTTGCAAAAGCGAATCAAGTATTCAAACCACCTGCGTTTGTTCCTGCCATCGGCAGTGTCCTACTACAATCTCTCTTGGCCTCGAAACGCTACAGGCTATTGAACCAGGAGAAGCAGGTCGTTCTGCCCAAGGAATCACAGCATGGTCTTTGAAGTTGGCACTGGTTTGAACAAGGCAATTGCATTGTTTCACGCTGCCGAACTCACGAAGAAGCAAAGCCCCTGCAGTTAGTCTCATGAAGTTCCGTGAGATTGGCAGCATTGCTACTGTGGTCTGTGACATGATAGCCATGTGTGGGTGATGTTCATGATCAGCCTGGTGTCATTATGCAATGCACGAACCAAAGCGCGTGGACAACGGCACTCAGTCACTTTTTTGCACTTATCTTGGTGGGGTTCTGGAACGATGCTGCCGAGGGGAGTTGTCTGGTACCTCAGCACTTGTCACAGATTTTGATACAGGCTTTGTTTTTGCCAATGTATCTAGCAGGGAGTTAAAGCTTGTTAAATCCCCAGTGATGGCAACTTCACATGATATGGCCAAGCTGCGTTTGTGATGACCTGGGCAAGCTCCTGATGCAGTGCCTAGCAAAACAAACAATTCAGCAGATCCAAGAACATAATTTCTTCGAGGTCAACACTGCAAAGTATGGGACTGGCCAATCTAAACTCATTTGTTCGGGATCAAATGCTTGATACCTTATGATAGTCCAAGTACGTGCCTTCCATTCCAAGAATGCATCAATGGGTACTTCAGGGGCGCTTAGAAACGTCGGCGGAGCACACCCTAATGTCACTGTTAGCCATATTTCTGGGCATCATGGTGTTCTGAAGCGTGTATGGACTGCAGTCACTCCATGTGGTTTTCATTCAGCATGGTAGCAGTCGATTTTGAAGAGTTGGGCTGGTGTGCCCTCAAGGTTCAAGTCTGGGGCCCTGGCTCTGAACCGTAAGCGCATAGACACGATGGCACGCTCAAGGGCAACCTGCCAAGGACACGTCTAAAATGATCAAAATGACTCGACTCTGAATAAAAGTTATATAGATGTTTTGCCACCCAGTCAGGCTGATGCCCTCTGGCCTCGCGACCTTCCACAAAATCTTTCCAGAAGTCCCCCTTTTCAGCTTGCCTCCAGGGTCTTGAGTCACAAACATGCTGCTCATTGAGTGAAACAACAAAGTTATACTGCTGTGCTACTATGCCATCCCTCCAGCCTAATGTAGTTGCTGAAGAAGGAACCTTTCCGCAGCTGAGTCATCTTCGAAGAAAGCCATACCATATCAATACAGCTCACCAGCTGGAGGGACAAATCAAATAGGATCATTGTCAATTTGGTTTCTGAAGATGAGGACCGAACGTTCGACATCCTCCAGAATCTGCAGCAGCTTCTCTCCTTGCTCTGGCGTCCTGGAGACATTCTGCAAACACACAATGTCAATCAATCACTGTCATCGCAGGCAGATGTGCCCAACGACTCCGACAGTGCAAACATTAGAATTAGATGGAAACACCCCGCGAAAACCGAGACATACAGGGCAGCCTTACTGATTCTTCAGGATGTGCAATACTCACAGAGTCCATCAAAATCAAACGAGGTCAAGTTCAATTGGCAAAATATTAGGCAACAAGTTCTGTCGTGCATCAAATGTTTATCCAACAAAAGAGCTTCCAATCAAATTCAACTACGTTCCAGCCCACCCTGTCAAGACTAGGTTGGAGGCCATCGCCATTAGGTAGGGGGGAGAGCGGCCTTTTAAACAGTATCTTTTTTAAAGTGTATTTGTTCGATCTCCTGATTGTCCACAGGGTGCCTGTCGTGGATCCATTTAGGATCGCAGTCCTTGGACCTCTGAAGTTCAGCAAGGCTGCAGCGTCGTGCATGTCGATCTGGCGCTTGTACACCTCCAAGGTGCAGGTCCTACCTCCTCACTTACTTAAAGCTTTACTTATGAGCCGGCGATGGCCTCCAACCTACAAGCTTTGGCCTCCGACCTAATAGCGATGGCCTCCAAGGTTTTGGTATGGTTTTGGTCGAGCACCTTCTTCAAATAGTGTTGGATCGCAGCGCATCTTGACCTGGCAGGTAAGGGTGTGGGCAAGCTGCTGTGCCAACAAACTAGAAGTAGTCAATACATTGATACATCTTGCAGCACCAATATCAATCGATAGGTGACCTACTGTGTTTCCACGGTTCACTTGTGTTTTCACACACTCGCCACATTCTTCACCGAAAGTAGTGTTCTGTGTTCCTTCAGAATCTTTAGAACGGATGCACACATTACTTGAAAATCGGTGTTTCGCTGTAGCGAAGGAAAATACCACGCTGACCTAGCAGGCAACCGATCTAAGCGTAACATACCCGTAACATACCCGTAACCATGTAGTTGCACGATGACCCCAAATCCACTTGCCAAAGAATCCACCGAGCACCATGCTGGCACCATTAGGAATCTAAGTGCTTGTTAGCATCATGTATATATTCTATGCCTTGTGTGCATCGAAGGTTCATGCAAAAATGTGCTGACGCACCAAGTTCAACGATCGCCGTCTAGATGACTTTATCCTTTGAATTGATGGAAGCATCCTTTCCAGCACAAAGAATACAACCCTAGTAGCATCCTTGCTCCTAGTAGCGATGCCAGGAGCCCCTATTAGCTTCTTGTTCCTAGTATAAGGCCAGGAGCCCCTAGTAGCGTCCTTGCTCCTAGTATGCAAATGTGTGTTGTTTGTGCCTTTTGAAAGTGTAGAACATCTCCAACCGGTCAAGGTTTCAGGAGGATTTGCTGGGGTCCTGACTCATGAATGCCAGCCTCATCACGGACAGCTCGATTCCCTTCGTGACGCCTGGCGCTACTAGCGCAGAATCGTTCCAAATGCTGGTTGGTTGTGCAATGCGCGTTTCACCGGGAAGTATGGTTCATGGTTCTCAAGCAAAAAGCATCAAGCAAAAGCAAGGGCAACCGCAGAGGTCATCGCAAACCTTTGTCGATGCAAACGATCTCATTTAAGAAGCGTGGTCACTTTGCTCACTCAGTAGCCAAGCTTGGCCTCCAAGGAAAGGAATACCAAACAAGGCTCAAACAACCACATGCATACAAATGCAAACTGGAGTCTCAAACCACTGCTTTTGACCACCAATTGTCGATGAGTTTGTGTTCTAGCCTCATCGCATCAGCTGAACTGGCTCATCTTCCGCAAGCTTCCGTGCCACCAAGGTCGCACTGTTGCCGCCGGGATGCAACGGCAAATCTCCCAACGGCCCCAGCATAGGGATCTGCACAAGGTGGAGAGGCATGGCCCATGGCTGTGTTTGATTCAGATACACTTCAAATGCCCAAAAGAAAAGTCACAATTTACTTTTCGTTTGTACACTTTGTAAGAGGGAAACCATGGACTGAGGCAGTCTCAGAAAATGCGTGGAACACACATGTTACATGGCGCGACTTGCTACGCTCAGCCGGGACTTGCTAAATTATGCTCGGCCGAAACAAAAGGATGCCATGAATCTGGCAAAATGGCATGGTGGCATCTGCTTCCCAGCAAAGCTGCTGGTTGTTTCGCGTCATCTGATCCTACAATACAGAGCCTCTAACTTCCAGAAGGATCCTCTAGGATCTCTAGGTGTCATTGGAGATTTTCCCAAGTCTCAGCGTGACTCTTGAGACTAAAGCGGTTTCCCTCGTCCAACCTCGTAGACACAAAGGCCCTCCTTCACGTCCAAGAAAGGTACTGGACAAGTGGAGAGGCTGTCAGGAAAGGCCACGCGGGCCAAAAGAGTGAGGTAAAGCTCCTTAGAGGACATGAATCAACTCAGGGATTGCACAGAACTAGCTACTTCAGGGATTTGCAGTATCACTATTACAAAGGGAGGCCATCGCTATTAGGGTTGGAGGCCATCGCTATTAGGGTTGGAGGCCATGGTTATTTGGGTTGGAGGCCATCGCTATTAGGGTTGGAGGCCATCGCTACCAGGTTGGAGCCCATCGCTATTAGGTTGGAGGCCATGGCTATTAGGTTGGAGGCCATGGTTATTAGGTTGCAGGCCATCGCTTGTTAGGTTGGAGGCAATCGCTATTAGGTAGGAGGCCATCGCTATTAGGTTGGAGGCCAATGCCATTAGGTTGGAGGCCATCGCTATTTGAAACAAGAAAAACAGAAAAAGGAAGAAAGGTCTAATATAGTTGCTATTAGGTTGGAGGCCAAGGCACCAAGGAGGCCTGCAGCTTCACCGTCTTCTCTTTCTCCGGGCTTGGAACTTCCACCTCGAAGACTCTCTGGAAGCCAAAGCCTTGGGCAATGATAGGCCCTAGGACCCCCTAGCATAGGGCCTGTCATTCGCCCTCTCCTCTAGGGTAGCCAAGGACCTAGACATCCTGCATAGGGGCCGGGCCTACCCTAGGTCAAGCCAACCCCAATCACGGGACTTCTGTGTGAAGCCTTGGGAAACATCGGAGATCTGTTCCTGCCACCCAAGCAAAAGTCGATGTGGCTGAATTGCATGGACACCTGGCCTAAACATCCTTATTGTGCATACAGAGCTTGGGAGCTACACCCAAAGACTTTTCAAAAGCAACCATCAACCAACCAAGAGTCGTTCCAAAAGCCACTTCAGAGCACCAAACTCAAGCAGCACGGGCGTCACCAGCGCAGCACCAAATGCACTAAGGCGGCTGTTGATAAAGCCACCATCAACGCGACCAATATCCTCACTATCACGTGCAACTGTTTTGTGTTGAAAAAGAACACTCATGAGATAACAGAACACTTGGACCCGCAAAACATCAAGTGTTTGAGCCCTTTCTCGTTTATTCTGCGCTTCTTTCCGATCCCCCTCAAGAGAAAAGACCATTTAACTGTTCTGATGATGTATATACTTCTTTTCAATACATCCTGAGCCCAAGCTTGTGAACCAGTGGCAGCTTAGCTACGGGCCGCGGTTCCCTGCCGATGTCTATCCAATAGCGAGTAAACTGGATCAGCACCTGGCTTTCTAAGCTCTGAACTGAATGGGGATGCCACCTGCTTGGATGATCTTGGATGAACACAATTGAATTTGATGTCTAACTCTGCGAGTAAACATGTTCTCCTCATGCTGATCAAGATCGTCCACCGGAGTTGTCCACCATATTTTTAGAGTTTTGCAAGCTCTCCTTCTAGCTGTCTTGAACAGCGTGCCTGGCTTCCGCTGGCACTTTCTGCAGGCAGCAAATCGCCCGCACACGAAGTCCACAAGTAGGCACCAAAAAGAACCAAGGGTAAACCACCTCACATGAAACAGTTTGAAACATTATTCTGTTAATGTCTTCTTAAGGCAATGTGTTTGCAAATGCCGTATCTGCCCATTGACGGATGTGTCTGACGGTATGTTAGTTCGGTGGTTATCACATTGCGATATTGATGAGTCTAGACCCTGTGAGCGCCAGGCGGTGAAGGGTCAAGAAAATCAATCGACAAACGGTTACAAACAATTGACGACCACAGTCAGTTGCCATAGCAGCACAGTTCACTAGTACATAGTAAACTGAAGCCTCCTCCATCTGCTGTGCACTGAGGCCGCTGCTATGTGCGGTGACAATAGGCGGATCCCCATCCTTTCCTGGGGTAACCTGCAACTCTTGCCCCTCACAAGGATAAATCAAATTCTGCACCATGAGCTCAGCGAACTAGTTGGAAACAGTAGCTGCTTCACGTTTTGTTTTAAGGGCGGGCCGGGTAGGCCTATAAGAGGCTAAGAACTAGTAGCAAAGTAGGATCAAGTACGTAGGCACGCAGAACAGCTCGACTTGGTTCCTTTGTGTAGGGTTCTTACCTCCTAGTAACTGGACGCAGGATAGCTCACGCTTCTTCAATTCAAGGAAGCTCTCCCCGCCTCAGGGCGGGGGAAAGCTTCCTTGAATGACGCCATTACCTAGATTTTTTGGGACACTTAGCTTAGCTTCCTTCAGGTGTGGTGTGTCTTTCAATAGATACTGTTAGTCATCGCAAGTTCAGGAGCTGAGTACAAAGGAACAAGAGAGAACGTTGTGAATTGACAAAGACGCCTCAACCCACAGTGATTGCCGAGGTATTCCAAACTTCTGGAGCGGCGTAAAGGCGCCGCTCCAAACCTGAAGCCATCTCTCACGATATGGGAACAAGGACGCTACTAGGAACAAAAGGCATCGCTACTAGGAGCGAGGACTCTACTAGTAGCTCCTGGCCTTACTACTAGGAGCAAGGACTCCAGGACGCTACTAGTAATATGTCCTCGTTGGGCTACCATAAAAACAGCAGGGATGCAAAGATTTGATTGTTCAACCCTCTGTGCACACTTACGGGAAAAAAGGATAAAACACATACAGAAAGCATGAAAGAACGGATAACATGAATTGAGAAAACTGCCAGGTCCAGAGTCTAATAACTATGCAATATTTAGGCCCAAATGAATCAATAAACGCAAGTGCTGGATGATCACTGATCACCAAGCTACTGCTTCCCATCGCCCACAAAGATCATCAATAACCTGCACAAATTCCACTGGAGACATAATATGGAGAAACATTGGTTGAACACGTTGTCCTGGAATTAATTCCGGCAAGGTGATGACAAAAATGAGTAAGCCGATCCACTTTAGTGTGTTGTTTGTCAAGAAAACAAACGCAGCAAAAAGGACCATCTGAAGGAGGACTTTAGTGGCCTTGCTTTAATGGCCAATATGCGTCAAATGAGTCAAATCCTTCCAGCCGATCTTGCATACTGATACATACTGTATACTAGTACCATATCTCATGAATTTGCTTGTCATCACACCACACTCACATCATATTTTTGTGCCTTTGTTGGTTCTGTTCGTGTCTTCGTTGCTTCCGCATACTGCAAGACAGCCTCAACCACCTGGTGCAAACAGGGGACTGTCAAAAGAAGTGTATATATAAATATACCCAGATTCTTTATTCTTTGTTTCTAATAGCAATGGCCTCCAACCAATAGCAATGGCCTCCGACCTAATAGCAATGGCCTCCATTCTCAGAGATTCAAAAGCAGCATGAATTTTGGTACTCCACATGCAGCCTCAAGAACTGAATCCACTTGTCTTGATTTCTTGATCTGGACTTAGCCGTCTCAACCTGTTCTATTCCCACATGGGACCCCCCCACCCCATTGATTAATAAAATTCAACCACGTTCACACATTGTCACATTGTTCACAGATTCTAGAGTGGTCATAAATTCTGGCAAAGAATCTCGGGCTTCTCCAAAAGAGATCTTATCTTCCATCCCAGCCTCTGGCATCTCCGCTGGATTCTTCTCGTACGCATGGCGCAGGGCGTTGCAAAGGTCACTCCGATCCGCCAATCGCAAGCGCTGCTGGAGCTCAGTGCCCTATGGCGACCGAAGTTAATGAAGCAAAAAAGATTACTCTCAAGGAAAACTAATAATATGTCAATATTATACAATATTAATACATGTGTGCTATGCAATAATATAGAAAATGAGTCATGGATGTTCATAGCTACACTATAATTTTGTATATATTATATATATAATATTATATAATTAGAGTTTCCAGCATCAGCCATAGGGTATAGGTTTTGGCTGCGGTTCAGCCTCTGCTGCCTCCCGCGCACGCGTTCGCCGCTCAGCGTGAAGCTGCTGGATGTCTGCGGCGAAGCCGAACCTCAGAACTACAGTGGATGCCAAGATTGGATAAAATGGAACTACAGGATAACAAAAAGGGAACAGTCTAAAGGTCTAAAGCAAACAATACCAACATCTAAAAACAAGACTCCTACATGGCCCTCACGTCTCTGCAGCCCAAAGACCATGGAAGCACTGTAGTGAAGTCATTGAACTTCTCTTCAAGCGACTTTTCTTCGTCCTTCTCCTCAAAAAGCAGGCCGATGCCTTCAAAAACATTCCAACCTGACCACTAGTCACTAATTAGTCAGAAATGACATGTCTCGGCATTGCAAACAACTTGAGTCAAAGAATTGAACACAGATCGAGCAGCCGGGCACAGCTGGCCAGTAAAGTCATCACTCCCAAACGCCAAGGCACCTGAGATGCCTGAGCTTTCTGTGATTGCCGCTTCGTCTTCCGGTGGCGACGGCATTTGTACCTTTCTCTTGCAGAACGTCTTCCCAACAGTTTCCGAGCGTGTTCTTGTCAGAATGTCTAATGTTTACACATGCCTAGTGGAAGACAAAGCCATTCAAAGCTTGACTGATCAGTCCTGATCCACTCCTCAATATTGGCACAAACCATGAAAACGAACTATACTGCCGAAGTCCTCTCATTGAATTGCACTGCCTTTGCAATGCATCCAAATCTCTATTTCAGCTACGCACATCTCCTACCAAACGCCATGTTTTTTGCTTTTGCGCTCTTATGGCGACATATTGTCAGACTGAATTCTTATGGCGACATCTCCCCGTCAGATCCATCGGACTCGTCCAGTGGCCAGTTGAGCTTCCCAAAGCACTTCTCGAAGTCGGTCATGAGGTTGCATGTTTCACAATGCAATGCCTGGCCACACACGTCTCCATTCGCCTGCAGCAGTGCAGCTGGTGGGAATAACGTGTTTCCCCATTAGCATGTGGCTGACTGGCCTTGACCAACCACAAAGCTCCAATCTGCGGGAACAGTACACGACTCCAAAAATGTTCCGTTGTTCCATTCAGGACAAACTCCTGCAGCTTCCATCAAGGCAAATAAGCTAATCTCTCCATTTGGTGCTATTGCCTTGGGATTAGGCAAAAGCCACCAGAATCCACATTGCTTGGCGTTGCCACCCCAGACCCGGTGGAAGGACTGGAGATGCTTGGTTTTCACCAAAGCGTAATCCAAAACACCACCTTTCCCAGGCTCAAGTTGCAGCGCGTACTTCTGAGCTGACTTCTGCAGCTGATCATACGCCGGGTCAACCTTTCTTAACATGGCCAACGACATTGGTAGTGGAAAATACTGAACAGGTGTCTCATTGTGAATGTGAGTCTCCACGGTGTCCATCTCACTGTCATAGCCCTTCTTCCCAGTCTGAAGCATCGCAACATCTTCGCATTGCCCAGCGGCGCGGATCAAAAGCAGCACTGCCAGGATACGAGACATGAAGATTCAATATCGGCAGCAAGAATTGGGCCAAATACTGCTGCTTCCGAGAAAAACATGTAGATACAACATGACAGCTGATGGCAAGAACTTGTATCAACCACTGAAAGTGAGTTTGGTGAAAGCTGTCGCAGCTTTGAAGCATGTGGGTGTCAAAACGAAAACGGCAAGCAAGCTAATCGTGGCTTGCGGGCTTCCTGGGTTCCCTTGCAGGACTGGTGTCAGGAAAGCAGCTATTCGCCTCATTCGCCAAGGGTCGACGCGAACCTGACAGCAAAATCACATCACACCAATGAGTGCCTTGATATTATAGATCTGTTCGGCTTGGGGGACTGATTTGGCATGTACTAGTACCATTTTGTACAAGTGAGTTGTTAGCCGATTCACTCCGAAGTGTTTCGACTTTGCTGAAGCATCATGAAGACTTAATCGTATCACATCCATCCGCATCGTGTGGATCCCTGCCTTGTGTCTAGCCTTGGTGTCCCATGGCGCACCACGTGGACTCGGAACGCTTGGCGTGTAGACTGGAAGGCTAGGCCGCAGCGGCCCCATGGCATGGGTCGAAGGCTTCTCCATGAGTCTACAGTAAGTCCTTCGGTTTGATCTTTTGGTGCTTGAGACATCCAAAGGACGGGGATTATTCTCAATTGCATTCCATATCCATTGCATTCCTGCAGTCAGGAAACACAGCAAGGAATAGAAGCGCAATATAACATAATATAGAATATTATAGTAATTGCGAACGGATGAAAAGGTGTGCCCTGGCCCCGTTCTAGCCCTTAGTTCAACATGAAGCTCGCGCGCTAAAGCTCCTTTTTACCTGGTTGGGCACTTGAGCCAAAAGTATATGGCATGTACCTATATAGCAACTATACTGGGACCTCATCCCTATTGACACCCCCCACATCCGTACTTCGACGGGGAAGGGAGATGAGTGGATGTAAACAAAAACCGGAGAGCGAATCACGCTCTCAAAAGTGTATTGGAGGTCAACCAGTATGTCCTATTGAATTGAATTAGCAAACGATTTTGCATTCGCTTGAAAGTTGGATCAAACAGGTAATGGAGCTACAAGCGGAAAACGTGCACCTACCTATGGTATCATGCGATTACCAGCGGTGTGAAACACAATCCTATCTCACTCCCATGATGCCAAAACGGTCACCATGAATTACCCAAGATCCCTCAGTACACGAAGTACCAGAAGTGGCATGTCGGTATGACCCCAATGCTCAACCATTCGTGAGTTGTCGCATGTAGTCAGCGCCGACAAAGCCAATGTAGTCCTTGATGAGCTCAACGTTCCTCGGATTTCCCGCTCGGATCTGCTCCTCGAAGAACTTCAATTTCTGTGCTTGGATATCGGATACCTCTATGCCATAGTAGCGGCATGCAACGAGGATCTCCTTCGTGACATTCTTTCGCTCCGATTTGATGGCGGGGCTAATGTCGATGAATTTGTATGGAGCGGCACTTTCGTCATCTGGTTTCTGGTAGTAACTATATCGGCTCGCTCCGAAGGTCTTCCTGATCAAGCGTCTGATGAAATTTGAGATGAATGCCAGTTTCTCGATGATCTCTTCCTGGGTCTCAGACCTTCGAGCCTTTGGATCACTCATGTTACGCCGAGTGCTGCCGACCTCTTTGAGGTACTTGTGGCTAAGCCCGCAGCGGATTGCAGTGATCATCATCGGGTGAACAACGTGGGCGTGGAATTCATAGATCTGCCACGCTTCTGTTGCATACACGTCGTTGGTCCATTTGCTCATGCCTACGACCTCGGCTCTCTGGAGACGTCTTGGAAACCCAGTATCCGGATCATTCGGTACTGTTGGCCATCTATTGTATGGAGTGTCATGCCGCTGTCCATCGTCGAACTTTCGCAGTACGTCTTCACGACTTTCAAAGCAGTTGATGTCGAACGTCGCGTTGGCCAAGCTCTTGATCAACTTCATCAACCTCAGATCAAATTGCTGTGTGACTGCAAAGTTGTGGTCAATGGGGGTCGCAGCTTCTTGTGGCAATTCGTCGATTGCGAAGGGGAAAGGCTGCGGAAGTTCATTCCCGTATCCATCTTGAGGGACCTCCCGATATTCGGGTTCGCCTTCAGCTTCGTCCGGTCGTTCCTTCAAAATGATAGGAACTTCCTCCTCTTCCTCTCCTTCGGATTCCTCGACCTCAATGACCTCTTCGGCTGTCTTGCGTGCATTCTTGATGACTTCATCGATGTTTGCACCTGCAGCAGAAGTTGCTTCACCGGAAGAACTGGCTGGGACATCTTTCGGAGGCGATCGTTGATTGCGGTCCCTTGTCTCCTTGGGTACCACATGCGTGAGTTTCCCATTCGCGATCAAAACCGCCACGCAGTGCGGACATATCGTCAACCGCACATCGACTTCGCCAAGACAGTTAGGACACGGCCTTGAGTCATAATCTTTCATTGCCCGGCGGTACACGATCTCCTCAAAGATTTCCTGCCACTCGGTGCTATCATATTCTGGGTAGACACCACTCTCCTCGATCATACCCAACAGTTTTGAGATTTTGGCGTCGTCCTCGGAGTAGGTATCGTCCTGAACTTCAACCGCTAAGCTCTCAAGCTTTTGAAAGCGTGGGATCATGATCGGGTTTCCGTATTTGGACTCCAGAACAAGGTAGCTTCCAGGATCGGGTTCCCTATTGAGTAACCTGATCCATTCGATCTCCTCAGGCTGTCCGGGTTCCGCATTGTCGCATTGCAACCATGCCCCTTTAACCTCATCGAAGGGAACGACGTTCTCAACCAATAGAGAGCCAGTCGCTGAGATGAGAAGTCCGTACTCCTGCAGCTTCCACACCGGAATGTAGAGAACCACTGGGCGATCACTCAATGCGACCTTACGACCCAGCCAAGGTTTTCCCTTGTAGCCCTGCTCCCAGGCCCATGGCGGAAAACATGTGAAGTGGATAGAATCCCTTCCCGATGAACCGAGACCCCCTGGCACTAGCCCCCGTCGCATGATTGAAGTCAGCGCTCCAAGATTGGTAGCGTGAAATGCTGTCACCATAGATAGGGCCATGTCGTTGGTCATTCTCGATCCAATGTGGTCGATGTTAATGGTAACGTCATAACCTCCGCCGTCCGTTGAGTGTGCTGAGGTTGCTCTTACGGCCACGGGAAAGCACCATCCATCGCTGTGGTGGAGTCTTCCTTTAGAGATTCCCATGCCCTTGAGTTCGTCAATCCATTCCTTCTCCATCGGGTCATCAGGGTCATTGAGTTCGTCAGGGTGAACGCGGACCGCCAACATTTGGAATCTGATCCTCTTGGTTATGCGGAAACACTCATAGTTCTGGTCGAAGTACTTCTCCAAACGCGCCTTCTTGGTCACGGTATCTACGTTGCCGTAGTGATAACCGTCTTCCCAAACTGCATTATCACCTAACAGGTCTTCCCACGACACCCATGCGCCTTCATCGCATTTGATTGGTGCGAGTCTTCCACCTGTCCTGAACTGGCGTCCAATTCGATGTCTCAACTTCGCTCCCAATCGACGACTCAGGGCTTGGCTCGCTTGGCTGTATTCAGGTACTCGACAGTATGGAGTCGGATACTTGTGGTTGCCGTAGTCGGAGTTCGTTGCAGCGAAAGTGACTCCGTTGATCGGTACTAGTTCAACTTTCCCGACCATCGTCATGGGGTCGATCGGCTTGTATCCCTTCTCCCTCCGTGTCGGTAGGGGATAGAAGTGATGACATGCCTTTGGTGCGAGGGAACTGGAGTGCACGAATGCCTTCTCTACGAATTCGTACACCACCCTCATATCCCTAGGGCCTACTTCCGCAAGCTTCCGCCCATTGTAGGAATGTGTCCCTCCTTCGACTCCATCAGCACTTTCGATCAAGGTGAATCCGTCATGGTCGAACATTGTCACGACTCTTGCTTTCAACATTTCTTTTCGCCTGAACTCGCTGTCGACCTTCCTATCTGGAGTAGGCGAAGCTCTCTGCTTCTTCTTCTTAGGCTCCTCGGTCGGATGTCCAGATGGTACATCGTCGGGTGCAACCTCTCCCTTCACTCTCTTCTTCCAATCACTCAACACTGAGGTGACTGTAGGTGAAGATGAAGGGGTCTTCTCGCAATTGAGAGTTGTGTGTCCCGACTTCATGCAGTGGATGCAGAATTCTGCTTGCCCGATCTTCTCCTCAAATTCGTCGATGGCTTGCAGTATTGATGTCTTCGGGTCGGACATGTCAACGTCTTGCTCCTCCTTCTCCTGTTCAAATTCAGTCTCCATATCGACACCTTCGGCCTCGGGCTGGTCAGTAGCCTCTGTTCCCTGTTCTGGTTCTTTCCCAATTTCGAAGAAGTGGTCGATGTCGAATTCAGGAGGCGGCATGGTCCTCACGCGAACGAGAATCAGTGCCACGTTTGCGGCCTCTTCAGAGTGCGGGTCCAAGGTCCTGATCGTCGATCGCTTTCGGTTCTCATACGTTGTCCTGTCGTACAGCGATGCAGTGACGCGCTTGATGGATTCTTCTAATCCCGTCCTCAAAGCTTCGATGTCACCCCATCCCTTGAACATGCGCCTGAAGAGTTGAGCAATTTCGAACATGCCCAGCAGCGCTTCCACCATGTCACCTACCCGTTCCTCCGTGGGATCATCTCCGAATATAGTGCGGAATACATCGGGCTCCAGTATGGTCTTGAGGTATTTGGTGTAGCACACGTTGCCAAGGTCATATGATCGGTAGTACTTGGCGCTGCCGACTATCTGCTTTTCCACATGGATGCTGGGTCCCCTCCTCGTCTTGAAGAAGTTCTCCGTCATTGTTGATGACAACCTGATCCCCCCGAAGAACGAGATCTCCTTCTGGAAACCTGGATTCTCGATAAAGATGATCATCGCCTCGTGTAAGAACTTCATCAAGTCTTCGTGCGGGTTCATCTCGGAGATCATGACGGTGGGAGAAGATACCGTTTGCCCCATGCCGAAGTTGTGAAGCAATCGCGCACATGCATGGAATCGCTTCTGGACGTAGTCTTCTGCGGACATCCCACGGCACCTATTTGCTGCTCCGTTGATGCATTCTGCATAGCAATCGTCTTTCAAATCGGAGTCTATGGGATTGCAGACCAAACAGTAATCGCAGCAAATCTCCTCACCCTCCTTAAAGTCATCAATGACGTACCACCTTTGAGTCCTCGAGTATATTGGTTCTGGTTGAAGGACTCCCCAGTACTCATCCATCCATGGCATTTTGTTCTCTCTCCTTACCTTCTCCCTCTTCCTCCGCTCAGACTCATTCTCACCTGGAGGCTCCGCAGTGGACTGATATGCATGGCTTCCTCTTACGGACTCTCCGAACAAGTACTGATACAGCCTCTCTTTGTCCTGCAACACGTGTTCCAAGTTGGGATCATGGAGGCTATTCGCTTCAGTCAAGGGATCCGGTGCCATAAAACAAGAAGCGAGCATCTTTTCTCTGAACAAGTACTTTTCCATGACAGCGTGGACCAAAGAGGTTCCAGACTTCATAGAGTAGGGGTGACCGCTTCCGGCGACCGAAATGGCTCGCCAGAATCTGTCCGACGTTGTGGACATCATGCCATTCAACGACAGCTCGTCCTTGATCATGTTGGCGATCTTACCGAACGAACCGACGGCATGGTGAAACTCCACGTCTGCGCAAATCCTCACGAAGGTAGGTAGCTGGCAGCATGCGTCGAGCTTGACGA